GGGTTTTTCGCCCCCCAAAGAAAGCTCACCCATATTGGGTCCAATCAGAGTTGGGCCCATGCACAGCTTTTAGTTTCAAACAACCAGCCTTTCTTGTGTGTTTCAACCTGCCCGAAAACCATTGGTGTGTTCACGTTGACACTTCTCAATGGGCAACTCATTGTTTTCAAGGCATGCAACCTACCCTGGTTTGAGAACCAGTGTGTTCACATCTCTTGGGCAACCCATTTTGAGGCGTCCTTTTTCTTGTGTCAAACTTGTAGGATCGTGACACTTTCAACCGCACGCCACCGCACGCCGCAGCGAGATCCGAGGCACCATCTATGCAGTGCCCTCCCATGCCAAGCCCGGGCCTCGAAGCCTCGAATTTCAAAGAGCCGAGGTTGAGGTGGTAGTGGTCAGAGGTTCGGGGGGAGGCCAAATCTGGGGAGGGGGGTTGGTAAACAGTCCTTTTGCGAACCTGTGGTGTTGGCTGGTTTGTGGGGGGGTCGTAGGGAACTTGGCCGACTTTTGCGCATAGCCCGTAAGAACTTGAACTCCGGAAGAGGGAACCACAGGAGTTGCGGTGACAGCCCCAAATTTCACTGCTCTGCGACATGTCTTGTTCCTTCACGTTCCATCGGTTGGTGCATTAGTTGTGTAAACGGCCGGCGGCAAGTAAAAGAAACTTGAATGGAAAGAACGACGCTTGACAGCGGAATAGCTGCCCGACGCGACTCCCAGAGCTAGCCCTCATGCCTTGTCTCACAGTATGAGTCAGGAAAAGTGCTGTCTTGAACATGTCTTGATGTCACCATTCATGTGTGTCGCCATGGCGGTTCATATATCTGTTGCAGGGACTAGCATGTTTTGGGGGGCGCCCGATCCCGAAATTTCCGCTTTCCGCTTTCCGCTTTCCCCGTATCCAGGCAGATCCTGCGCATCAAGACGGGCGCGGCTGCCTTGGAGTCTCCCAGCTTCGAAGAGCTGATGGCTGCCAAGCAAAAGGCCCTCAGTGAGGAGGCGGGGCCCGGGGGAGCGAGGCGTCAGGTTGAGCCAACCTTCGGACAGATTCGCAGGTGCGACCAAAAAGTGGGCGAATCCACTGGGTGCCGACGAAATGGATCTTCCAGATTCGAAGTGCCTTTTCGGATAGGGGAAGGGGTCTCCTTGCGGTTTTTCACGGGTTTCTTGGGGCTTGAGGTTCACGGCCATGGCTTTCCGTACACCCCAAGCGTGCCGTCAGGAGCAGAACCTGAAGGCAGAGGCGCAGGCCTGGGGGTTGATGTTCAACTTGAGGTTCTGGACCCCAGTTCTAGCTGTGGTTCTGACCGACCCGGGTCGAACATCCAAGTTGGACTCCCCAAAGCGACTCTACCTGAATGTTGGGTACCTCAACAAGAAGACACACCAACTGACACAAGGGCAGGATTCCCATGTCATTCTGTGACTCAAAAGAGTTTGGGGCACCAGCGGACAAGGTCGCCACGGTTTCCTGAGCTAGGTGTTTCTTGAGGTGCTGAAATAGATGGATTCCACAAGCCTGGCTCCCATCATGTCTCCGTGCCAGTTGTTCGCAAGGATCCCCAATTTGTAGCGGGCGAGCTCGCGCGCTAGGGCAACTCTGAGGAAGAGATGGAGGAAGATGACGAGGCGTGGCCCACCTGCAGCCATGGTCCCAGGGGTGCTAAACGCCTGTGATAGGCCTAGCCCAAAAGTGGACATGGCGCCAAAGAGCCTGTCCGACCTAGAATCACTTGAGGCCCCCTTGGTTACCTGTGGAAAAACGATTTGGGTGCCAAGAACGGACCTGCATGTGCTGTTTGGAGTTGGTGCTCTTGTCAGGTTGGCTTAGAGGGCAACCGCAAAAGAAAGGCCGCCCCTCGATTCTGGCGGGCCAAATCCCAATTTTGACACCTACCGTTTTGTGTTTTTTTGGTTTGGGGGGCTCCCATTTCGACACAGCCAGGAACTAGACAGCGATGCGGAGGACCTGGAAGACTGGCCTGCGGAGGCAAGGGTGGCTTTCCCCGGATGCTCAAATTGGGGGGTTTAACCCCTCCCGGTAGAGGGTAGGTGGGAAACCATCCTGTAACCTCCAAACGGATCCAACCACTACTTGGAGGTATACGCCGATCTGGGGCCGCACCCAAATCGGACGGAGCAGCTGATTTGGGGACAGTTACTGAGATGTGTGTGGCTTGGATGGGGCAACAAATGCGTCACAGAGATTTGGTGCTTAGGGCGCCCCAAATGAAACTGAAGAAGGGATGCAGAAATATGCAGTATGTATAGAATTTTGCTGTAGGTATGTAAGGTTTGAGCCCCAGCCTAAATCAAGGGTACCGTCCCACTCACTCACGTAGCACCTGACAATTGTTTTTTCGGCAAGAAAACCTTCCAGGTACAAGTTTTCGCAGGTGCCATGTGAGTGGGAGAGGATGCACCTTGAAATGAGAGCGTGAGCACCCTGGACTTAGAGGCTGAGAGCGTATTGTACTAATATATATATATATATATCGATATTATATACATTGGACATATATATATATATATATATGTCCACTTTGTTTCTGTCTTCATTTGTGATGCCCAGTACATCTGACCCTGCAAAAAGAAAAAGACTCTCCAACTCAACCGTTTAAGCCGTTCAACCCTTTCTCAGAGGAAAGGTTTGAAACGGTAAAAGCGGTTTTGGGCCTCGAGGGGGGTCTTTCCTCTGAGAAAGGGTTCTTGAACAGTTCAATCGGTTCGGGGCCCTGACCCTCTTTGTGCATCTGGCTGAAGCTTCCAGATTTGTCTTTGGAAATGCGCCCTTTTTGTGCTGCTTTCCCCAAAGCCCAAAAAAAGGGAGAAAGCACCGCTCATAGCTGTGAATGGCGAAACCACAACAAAAAAAAGGAAATACCGCAGATACCGCTGAAGCCAAATAAAGGTTGACATTTTAGGGGGGTCTATGTAGAGATAGATAGATAAAAAGATGGATAGGTAGATAGACAGACAGACAGATAGATAGATAGAGAGATACGCCTATTTCTGTATGCTTTTATGTGAGTATGTGCATACGTATTTTGTAATTATCTATATATATATATATGTATACACACACGTGAGTAGGCGAATGGCTAGCTTTGTAGCGGTCATTTTTCCATGTTGTTTTACTTGCGCATGTTCTTTTCACCAGGAGTGTGATGGTGTGTCACTCTGGGGCCCCATCTTCGAGCCCAAGTGGGCGCGCAAGAACAAGTTCCGGGCACTTGCAGCAGGACGGAGGGTTGAAAAGTCAGAGGCTTGGGGGGCGAGGGTTGGAGGGCTCGAGGTCGGAGGGCAGGGTGCGTGCCCGTTTTCATGGCGCTTGGTTTGGCTACACATCGACTTTGGCTTTAAAAGCCATTGTGGGGGAGGGGAGTCTTTGAGCACCTAGGAGCCACAGCAGAGACGCTTGTGGCCGGGGCCTGAACCCTGATTCGTCGATGGTCAATGAGTGACACGGGGCACAAATGTCCGATGACCCATGGCTCATTGGGCGCAGTGGGGGCTTGAATGGTCAAAACACATTTTCCCCGGGATGGTCGTGGGATTGTAGGCGACTATCACGCAACCATGACAAGGATTCCTAGAATCCTAGAAAGAGAACAGGACAAACATATTGTCAATGGCACATGGGTTCACCAATACGGTTCTGTGCGTGTGTGTATTTCGGAGTTCCCTTCAAAAAAAGCAATGAGTACATTGGAATTGTTCACTCATGCTTCCGCGTTTGGTGATCCAAGGGGTGTTTAAAGAGAGAGGGAGCCTATATCGGCTGATGCAAGAAGCCAACGAAACCGAACTTGACGGATGCACTGAGAATTCCAAGTAGACCAGCCTTACATGTTATAACGAGCCCTTCTTGGTACGAGCTTATGGTGAAGGTCCTTGACTAGGGGATTTCTTATGTCCAGTTTGGATGGCAGAGTTCTGGTGGAATACTGGTTCCCTGTGTGCCAAAAGCACCCGACCCTTGGCGCGAAACAAAGCGGCTGTGGATTCGGTCGAGCCCGCATGGTGAGATGCAGCACGCGGGGTCCATGGAACAGAGACGGCAAACCGCGCTTAAGATCTTGCATGTAAAAAGCGAGGTCCGATGCCTCCGTTTCTGGAGTGTAGGGAGGCCGAAATGCATCCGAACTCCGAGGCGCCGCCGTACTTCTGCGGCCAGGTGCTGGTGGTGAGACTGGACAGCCAGCAGCTTAAGGGTGAAAAACCAACAAGAGGAACGCATTTGGGCGTGTTGCAAAATTGGATATACAACGCCCAAAATGGGTGGTTTCCTTTTGGCTTCCCTTGTACACCGTCCGGAAAAGGTCGGACGCGCGCCACGCCAGGTTTGGATATCAAGTGCCCCTTCAACGGAAATGGCTGTGGTTGTCAAAACCAATGGGATCTCATTTTGGTTGGTAGGTGAATTTACCCATGTTGGAACCGATTTTAGTGGTTGGATGGGGATGTTCACTGGGGGTACGATTTGGATTTTGGACCCATGGCCAAATCCTTCCGCCCTCCGCCCGCTGCCAGAGGCCCCGAAGAGGAGGCCGTGCAGATGTTGGGCGACCCCCCGCCGAAGCCGCCCAAGCCACGACCTCAGCATGGCTGGCCTTTGACTCCGATCCCAAGGAGATTCCTCCAACCGCAGTTGGTCTCAGGGTGCCGTGCTGCGGCAAATCCAAGGATGGCGTTGGCCCCATGTTCAAAATCTTAGGTGTCCAGCAAACATCCGCGAAGGGGTTGGAGATGTGACAAAGTAGCTCTTGGAGAATGCTGGTTGCAGCATGGTCTTTAGTACATGCCCCGGGTTCCTTACAAAAACAGTCAACCCCAAAGGGCAAGCTAGGGTCACTGAGCAACTGGATATTGGGTTGTGAACGAAACCAAGAGGTACCATTGTTCCACAAAGCGAGCACGGGTGTAAGACAAGCGTAAAGCGGCTGTTGTCTCTTTCGCGGAGGAAGACCACTCAAGTTGAGCGACGTCACCAGGTCTTGCGATGTCACCCAAAGTGAAGGTTCTTTCACATGAGTCTCTTATTTGGGTTGGTGCAATATCGTATTCGCTAGGATGGAGTCTGTTCTGAGGAAGGTCTTCGTCCCGATCCCAGATGAGGAGCGCTGCGTCTTTGCTCTTCAGGTGTCCAAACTTGAAATTTGGCACGTGGCGGGGGCTGTTTGCGACAGTGCCGCCTTTCAAAGGGTCGCAAAAAGGGCCTGCAATAAGAACCCCCCACGTCTTGCAGGACGCGGACTGAGACGAAGACAAATCCTTTGACGCGGCCAACGCGACTTCCAGCGGTTTTCGAGCAGATCCCACGCTCGCGCAGTTTCACTGACGCTGAGAACGGCGCGCCCGTGCCGCGAGGTTGGCCAGGCGTTCGAGACGCAGTCCAAGCTCCGAACCAGGGGGTCGAGTGGCGCTTGCACGGAGGCAAAGAATGCCTCGCGGTGGCCGCAAAACCGCGCGCTGCCAAAAATGCCGGTGGACTTATGTCGGTGGCTTGGATTCGAGGGGTCAACTGGCAACGATCAGTTTGTTGGGGTTTGTCAAGTGATAGCGGCCAGGCTGGTGTTTGACAGAAAGCCAAGAGACCATTCACCCGAGGTGCTCCGACTTTCAAGAGGCGAGGGTTGATAGCAGGGGGCAAGGTGTGTTTAGACAAACTCATGCTCTGCGAAGGCAAACCAGAAGGTTGTTAGAAAGATATAGTGGTTAAACCGTGTTCAAACCAGAAAGCAGGCGCAACCCTGGTTCATAGAGTTGCCGCTCCGCAGTGCATGGGGTCAAGTCTGGCCAAAAGAGCCGGCTTGCACCGAATTTCCGGGCAATGTGCCATGGAGAGGGCCAAAACATCTGACAAACAAGACGGCCCATTTGAGGACCATGTGAAAAAGGTTTGAGGTTCTTGTGATTGCACACCTTTCTTTTGATTTCAGTGTTGTTCGTTCACTGTATAGCTTTATGTGATTGCCTTTTTCATAGCCCCACCTGCCTTCCCCTTCACGGTGACATCCTCAAAATGACCCTCAGGGAAACCACCGGGACCCAAAAGGAGTTTTGAGAATCCTTCAAAGCGTGCCACTTCCAGGCCCGCTCCCCTCATTTCTGTCCTCCCTTCGCCATGGCCTGGAGCACCGCGCAGCGCCGAGAGCTGGCCGGCGTCTGCGGGGTGGCTGGCCTGGCATTCAGCCAGCGCCCCAGCGAAGTCGCAGCCAGATGTCGCTGGAAAGCTTGTGGCCGCTCTGTTGCTGAGTGAATTTTCTGTGAAATTGAGGTCTTCTGAAATCTGGGAAGAAGTTGTGCCGCAAACTTCACTACACAACTCGGGGGGGCGTCAGTCACAACACAGCAGGCTTTTTGGATCTCTGAGGAATCGCTGTGCCCGAGTTCCGTTCAGAAAGCCAAATGTTAAGCAGGTTCTAGCATACAGGGGTCTCTGATCACTTGCACCAAAGGACAACCATTTGTGTAGCAACCCAAAAAGGATCCCATTTGTTAGAACCCGTTCAACGGGTCACTCAAAGCAAGGGTCCACATAGTTAGTTTGGGGGGGTTGTGGGGTACTGCAAAGCCAAGTTTTCTCGTGACTACAGGAGTACGAGTAACTAGTCACCCCATATGTGGAAGCCTCCATTTCTGAGACCTGCATTGGCTTTAGATCAATTTGTTTGGAGCTGACTTCCCCTTGAGGTCTACCAAAAGGGGTGCCTGGTTTTTGTTGACGGGTGTGGGGACCCTGCATTTCCAGCTTGAGTTTTCACGAGTTGCTCCGATTGGACCCACTTTCTACCCTTTCAGGAATGGAGTGTGCTTGGAACACCTTTCAAAATGCTTGGTGGACATAAATCTCCATAGGCAAATACAACTTCCTTGATTATGGATACTTTATAGTGTCTTTCACACTTTGGCATATGAACCTCCGTACCTCCAAGACCAAACCTTGCAGATTATCTCTAGGTATGCCTTGGTAGGGCTTGCGCTTGGGATGGTCTACACCTGGACACTAAGAAGGAGCTAAGCAGCTAAGAAAACCATGGCCATGGTCAGCAGTTTTGATGTGCCCAAAACGATGGGCCTCCCTTTTCAAATGGTGACTGGGAGTTCAATTCAACGGTTTTTTAGGAGCCCCAACTTGAGACAGAACCATCCATATGTTGGACTGAAACCCAGTTTCACTCCAAAACCCCTGGGTTCAAGTCAAAGCACGGGACGGGAACAGCAGCCTCCAAAATCGTACACAAGTCACGCCAAAAAGTCGACCTATCCACTCAAATGTTTCATCCCGGAGACCAACCTGAAACGCCGTGCAACCAACCTGCAAAGGGGTCACCCGAGACAGACGCACGCAGAGATGACTGTGGGTCAAAACCCTGTACCCCTGGTGAACATCAAAATAGGTGCAAATGGATGTTCATCCACCCCGAAATGGGATCGCCATAGGTTCTGTCCCATGGCCAAACGACGGGTTCCAGGTTTCAGGTCGGCGGTGAGCCTGGCGCTGCTGGACATCACGCGGGACGGCGATGTCCAGGTGGACATCGCGGAGGTGGGGAAGCTGAACGCCAGAGGCCGATGCCGGGCGCGGGGCGGGTGGTGTAGAGAGGGTGTAAAGGACAGGTTGGGGGGAAATTTGGGCATGATTCGTTTTAGGGATCGTCATGAAAGGGGGAAATTCATGTGCGCCAGCCACCTCAAAGATGTCGGCCAAGGAACCATGGTCATCTTTGAAAGGAAACCAGCGGCGGATGTGCAAACACGTTTTAAGAGGTTGGCCCCACTCTTGGGGGACGGTGAGGGTTGGCAGTTGCTGGGACCTTGGACTCAAAGTTCAAGCAGATTTTTGTCCGAAGCCTGACCAATTTGTCAACCCACCACCACCACCACCACCACCACCACCACCACCACCACCACCACCACCACCACCACCACCACCACCACCACCACCACCACCACCACCACCACCACCACCACCACCACCATGTTCAGGAGTCCAATTCTATCGCAACCCGAAACGTGGGAGCTCCCATAATCCAGCAGACGCCCCGCCAGAATCAGCGGACTCACGAATTCCTCAATGTCCTTTGAAAGAAAGGCATTGTTTGACTGTTGGTCAAAGTTGTGCCACCCGCATGGGTTTTCAAAATTTGAAAGTGGCCCCCGAATGGGCAGGCCAATTCGCCTATGCCCTGGGCAAACTGCTGGGTGGCGCGGTGGTGGATGCAGTGGGCGGCCTTAAGTCGCTGCTGGCGATCCTGGCGCGGCTCGGTGAGGCAAAAGGTCCAGCGCAAGCCGCTTAGGTCACATGGGGAAACCATTACAGTATGCAAGACCTACCGGCTGTAGTGGTCAATGGAATCGTCGGTGCAGCTGCAAGTGCCGACCAAACGTCACCCGGTCTTGCCATGTGTTCCGCGTTAGAGTTTTAGATGAGTCGCTTTTGCAAAAACCAAAGGGATGCCTCAAACCTGCTTTCGGGGTTCAGGCCCGTGTCCATGCATTGCCCGTTTTGGCGAAAGGTGCAAAATTGCACCCTCTTCTCCTGAGCCTTGCCAGGATTGGTTCAACCGAACACGAGGCTGTTAAAGCAGTGATTGAATCATGTTTAAACCAAGGCGTGGAAACTGGTTGAGGTTGCCATTTTGTGCGAGGGAAGCTTCAACAGTTCAAAGTCACAGGGACGGACTTGAACCCCACTTGGCGGAAGCTGTTGCCTCAGAGTCGGGAAACCCTCAAAATGGATGGGCTTCCAATTTGGTTTCCCTAATATTCCCAGGGGGTCCGCCATCTTGAAGATATTTTTCGGTTATTGTTATCATGACTATAATTTGTATTATCAACATGATTATTATTATTATTATTCTTATGATTAATATGTGTTTCTGTTTTCAAGTCCCAGGTGTCCCGTTTGTTTCCCCACGGTGTGGCGTTTTTTTGTTGGTTCACGGCGCGGAGGCTGCTGTCCGGCAGCTTCGGCGGCATGGCGCTAGCCCGGGGCCCGGGGCTGCGCCTCACCGCGTGCTTCGCAACGTCCAGGCGGGAGAAGCGACGAAAAGACAACCTCAGGCAACCTCAGGCAGTCTCAGACAGTCTCAGACAGTCTCAGATACTGCAGGGCTTCTTTTTGGCATCGTTGTCGTTCTGGGCGAAGCCAGAGAGAAAGGTCTGGGTAGTCTAAACGCAACTTCCTTCGAGATCGGCGGAGGTTCGCCACAGCAGCGGTGTGGACCGCCGCCGCGGTGAGTTTGCGCAGCTCCTTCTGCCACAACGGTCAGGCGCAGGCCCGTTTTTTTTTTTTTTTTTTTTTTTTTTTGGTGTGTGTGTGTGTGTGTGTGTGTGTGTGTGTGTGTGTGTGTGTGTGTGTGTGTGTGTGTGTGTGTGTGTGTGTGTGTGTGTGTGTGTGTGTGTGTGTGTGTGTGTGTGTGTGTGTGTGTGTGTGTGTGTGTGTGTGTGTGTGTGTGTGTGTGTGTGTGTGTGTGTGTGTGTGTGTGTGTGTGTGTGTGTGTGTGTGTGTGTGTGTGTGTGTGTGTGTGTGTGTGTGTGTGTGTGTGTGTGTGTGTGTGTGTGTGTGTGTGTGTGTGTGTGTGTGTGTGTGTGTGTGTGTGTGTGTGTGTGTGTGTGTGTGTGTGTGTGTGTGTGTGTGTGTGTGTGTGTGTGTGTGTGTGTGTGTGTGTGTGTGTGTGTGTGTGTGTGTGTGTGTGTGTGTGTGTGTGTGTGTGTGTGTGTGTGTGTGTGTGTGTGTGTGTGTGTGTGTGTGTGTGTGTGTGTGTGTGTGTGTGTGTGTGTGTGTGTGTGTGAGGGTGCTGCTGGTTTGGATTGATGGTTTGGGGGGTTTTGACCCGGGGGATTTGGATCGTTTCTTCCAGAGGGTAAATGGGAATCTCTGAGAGTATCGTGTTTCAGCTTTCCTCTAGTGGTGGTGTGGATTGGTCATTTGGGGGGTTGAACCCCTGGTTCTCGTAGAGGACCACACCTAACCTCCAAACCATCAATGGAAGCCACCAATTTGAGGGAAGCTGATTGTTGGGATTTTCTTAAAGGTAAGGTACTCCAAAGGACCCACCCGTTTTGTGAGTCCAATTTGAGACAAACCCTTCGAACTTGCTTCCAACTTGGTTTCAAAACCAGCCGCAGGGCACCCTCAAAACATATTGCCAAGCAGCTTGCCCCCATGTTGCTTCCCTTAGGTCCCCCCCCCCCCCACAAAAAAAAAGGATGAAAAGAAAGAACAAGAAATCATAAAAGTCCAAATTACCCAAGGAGTATTCCCAAATAGAACCCCACCCCAATAATGGTTGATTCTCCCGTGAGGAAAGCAAAGGAAGAAGGGTAGCCTTGTAGGCACGGACCGAAAATACCATCCCCGCTTCTCTAAACATAGTTCACCCAAAAAATGGATTCACTTTTCTTCCTTTCGGGTCTTTGCGAGCTGGGGCACCCATTTCCCCGCTGACGAAAGGTATACTTAAACCAGCCAAAATGGAAACGCTACGCAACAAGGCGGACAAGCCAAAAGCAACGCCCAAAAGGCAGCAAACCTCAAACGAACCAAACCAAGACAGGACGAGATTCAAACACTACAAAACACACACACACATACACAAACAACACAAAGCAACATCCACCAAACGAGAGCCAACCAAATAAACAAAAACGAGCCAAACGATACAAACCCACCAAAAAGAATGCAACATCAACATCAACCGAGCGAGAACTAACCAAGCAAACAAGTGAAAAACAAAACACCAAGCAAAAAACACAGAAAGATCAAAAAGCAACATCAACCTCAACCAAACGAGAGCTACCCAAATAAACAAGCACGAACACACCAAGCAAAAAGGAAAACACGTACGAGATCTCGTCTGCGAGGCTCTGAGCATCGGGCAAGTCGCCATGCGCCTGGGCGCTTCCGGTGGCTCCCTGCTCGGCGGACTGCTGCCGGGGACTCGGAAAGGACTCGCGGAGTTGGAAGGTTGGGGGTCTGCGGGGTTTGGGTTTTGGTGCCTTGTTTTGGTTCGGTTTGCGGGGTTTTTGGTGTCTTGTTCTTTTCTTCTTTTTTTTTGGGGGGGGGAGTGGAAACCAAATAACCCATCTATTTGCCTTTGCTTGTTGACTCAACTCATCAACCCCCCTTTGCAGGAGGGTTGCCCAACGAACACCAAACCCTCCTTGATTTACTCAAAACAATATGTTTAGTTATCCTGTCGCTATCACGTTTTCTGAGGCACTTGGGCAAATGGAAGTTTGGGAGGCGGGCTCCCTTGAGGATTGGCCATTTTTGCAAGTTCAACACCCCAAATCTGTCCGAAACCTATCGAAGGTTTGGGAATAAAGGTTTCGGAGGGTGGGAATCAAAGGTCAAACAAGGCAAGGTATGAGTCAGGGTATCGCCAAGGTTGGAAGCCCAAAGTCGATCCGGTTCCCAAGCAGGACCAAGGGTTCAACCAGAGGGCAACCCTTCAAAGGGGACTGAAAGGAGCTTGTGGAAGGTTGAACAGGTTCCAGTTTGGGATTCCCCAAGGTAGACTTGAACCCAGGGTTCCCCTTTTGCGGAAGTCAACCACCCAGAAGTTTGAGTCTGCCTTGAGGTCATCACAAATGGAACCCTGATATCCTTGTGGGGTGGCTATGGTGGTTATTTGAATTTCTTGAAGGCGGTCATTGGTTCATTTGGGCATTGGAACGAAATTGCCCACCTGCTTGAATTTCTTCTTAAGAGGGGATGAGTATGTGGTTACTTTTTCCAGACCCGCCCTGAAACCCCAGTCTATGTCCCACCCCACCCCACCCCATCCTTGGTGTGTCCTTGTCTTTCGGACGTCTCTTCAGAGGTTGAGCCGCCTGAAGACCTGGCGCAAGCTGCTGGCGGCCTACGCTGCCCTGGGCGCCGTGGCCTGTGCCGCGCTCGCCGCCCGCCTGGCGCGCTCCGAATGGGAAGCCGAAACGGAGCCCAGGCGCTTGCCAGGGGGGGGGGTGGAAGAAGGTGGAAAAAGGGGCAGGCGGGTTTAAGGAGAGCTTCAGGGGGAGGAGCAGGTTTGAAGAACATGTTTGGTTTGGGAGGGGGGGGGGGTGAAGAAGGGCCGGAGACGGGCGGGGGGAGCATGTTTGTGGGAAATTGTGTTTTAGGGGTCACTTTCTGTGAGTCCACGGCTGAAAACACGGAGGTGTTGCAGGGGTGCATTATATTCTACTTGTTGGGAGGGGTTCCAAACATCGCTGTTCAGGCCAAGCTTGCAGTTTCTCTTTGGTGGGGTGTGTTTCAAGGTGACATCAGGGACCCGAAATCCGAAGTTGACCAACATCCGTTGGATGGGCAAGGACAGGCAAGCACAAGGAACACCGCACTGATTCAAATCCCGGCACCACAGATGCCCGTAGGTGCGCACGAAGGAGTTTTAGCACGAACCGCGCACCGCGTAGGCACTTGGTAGGCGTCACCAACCTGCAAAGAGTGCCCTCAAGCACCGCACACACACACACACACACACGCACGCACGCACGCACGCACGCACGCACGCACGCACGCACGCACGCACGCACGCACGCACGCACGCACGCACGCACGCACGCACGCACGCACGCACGCACGCACGCACGCACGCACGCACGCACGCACGCACGCACGCACGCACGCACGCACGCACGCACGCACGCACGCACGCACGCACGCACGCTCCATTGCGCACGCACGCACGCACGCACGCACGCACGCACGCACGCACGCACGCACGCACGCACGCACCCACACACACACACAGACACGCACGCACGCATGCACGCACGTACACACACACACATACGCAGACATACACACACACACACACACACACCCACGCACGCACGCACGCACGCACGCACGACGCACGCACGCACGCACGCACGCACACACGCACACGCACGCACCGCCCGCACGCACGCACGCACGCACCGCACGCCGGCACGCACGCACGCACGCCACGCACGCACGCACCGCACGCACGCACGCACGCACGCACGCACGCACGCAGCACGCACGCACGCACGCACGGGGGCCCCCAAAACGCACGCACGCACGCACGCCCACGCACCGCACGCCCGCACGCACGCACGCACGCCACGCACGCACGCACGCACGCACGCACGCACGCACGCACGCACGCACGCACGCACGCACGCACGCACGCACACGCACGCACGCACGCACGCACGCACGCACGCACGCACGCACGCACGCAACGCACGCAACGCACGCACGGCACGCACGCAACGCACGCCACGCACGCACGCACGCACGCACGCACGCACGGACCGCACGCCACCGCACGCCGCACGCACGCACGCACGCACGCCACGCACGCACGCACGCACGCACGCACGCACGCACGCACGCACGCACGCACGCACGCACGCACGCACGCACGCACGCACGCACGCACGCACCGCACGCACGCACGCACGCACGCACGCACGCACGCACGCACGCACGCACGCACGCACGCACGCACGCACGCACGCACGCACGCACGCACGCACGCACGCACGCACGCACGCACGCACGCACGCACGCACGCACGCACGCACGCACACACGCACGCACGCACGCACGCACGCACGCACGCACGCACGCACGCACGCACGCACGCACGCACGCACGCACGCACGCACGCACGCACGCACGCACGCACGCACGCACGCACGCACGCACGCACGCACGCACGCACGCACGCACGCACGCACGCACGCACGCACGCACGCACGCACGCACGCACGCACGCACGCACGCACGCACGCACGCACGCACGCACGCACGCACGCACGCACGCACGCACGCACGCACGCACGCACGCACGCACGCACGCACGCACGCAACGCACGCACGCACGCACGCACGCACGCACGCACGCACGCACGCACGCACGCACGCACGCACGCACGCACGCACGCACGCACGCACGCACGCACGCACGCACGCACGCACGCACGCACGCACGCACGCACGCACGCACGCACGCACGCACGCACGCACGCACGCACGCACGCACGCACGCACGCACGCACGCACGCACGCACGCACGCACGCACGCACGCACGCACGCACGCACGCACGCACGCACGCACGCACGCACGCACGCACGCACGCACGCACGCACGCACGCACGCACGCACGCACGCACGCACGCACGCACGCACGCACGCACGCACGCACGCACGCACGCACGCACGCACGCACGCACGCACGCACGCACGCACGCACGCACGCACGCACGCACGCACGCACGCACGCACGCACGCACGCACGCACGCACGCACGCACGCACGCACGCACGCACGCACGCACGCACGCACGCACGCACGCACACCTTGCTGTGGATGGGCAAAACCAGTGGTTTATCAGCCGGTGTCCATCGGGCTTCATGTGTCCCACCTGGCGCAGGGTGTCCGGAGCCTCGGACCAATCCGTGACCTCTGTGGGCACGGCCCTGAAAACGGCCTTCAAGACACCCAGGCGGGGCTTCGGCGTCTCAAAGGTCGAGCCAAGCAACCATTCGGGAAAAGCAAAACAATCGGAAAAGCGTCCCAAACATTTCTCCATATTTCTCCTTTGCAAAAAGGTAAATGCATATGTTTGTGTCTTGATAAAGCTGCTCCATGCTTCTCCTAACCCCCCACCCCCGGTGCAAACACACACACACACACACACTCACACACACTCACACACACACACACAAACACGCACACGCCCGAACAAACCATTTGTGGACCATTTGAGTGCTGCTCTTTTGGGGTGTCTTTGGGAGTAGTGGCGAGTTTTTCCCGTGACAAGTGCGTGTTTGTGTCCTCTTGAACCAATCGAAAGGGTACCCTCAAACAAAAGAGGCGTCAATTTGCTTACCGCCCGGGGGGCCGTGTGTTTCCCTTGGTGGATCAAGCCAACCTTCCAATGACAAATTCTAGACTTGAAGAGAGGGGGTTTACCTTTTTTCATGGAGGATTCCAAGGTTTTGGCTACGAATATTAGTGGGAATCACCCTCAACAATGGTTGGATATGCATCCCCATGTAAATGAGGTCCACCAACGTGTCCCCAATCGAAATTCATACCCAACAAAAAGCCTTCATCCGTTGGCTTGGGCAAGGCTCCCTTCGAAACTGACTGCGGAGGTGGGGGAGTTTCCTTACCCCCATGAGTTGATTCAAACATCCTGTGTTTTGAACACCGTGTGTCGTCGATTTTCTGGAATGTTTTGGAAGTAACCCATAGATTCCCTGACCTCTATGTCCGGGGTCTCCTCCAAAGCTTGATGTCCCAGAGCAAATATGAAGCAGAATCTGAGCGTATGTTGAATGGCAGCTGATAGGCTGTGGCTCCTCTTCGGGTCCACCACGATGATCACCCCCACCTTCGACTTTGTGGCCCTGCTGCCGCAGTTCCTGCACGATTCTCGGCCACGGGGCTCCTTTTGGGCCGAAAGCCTCCCCAGTCAGTGTAGATATCAACTTGCAGATGTGTTGATACTCCACGTGATTTGGGAAAACTCCTTTGATGTTTGACTCACTTGAGCACCCAGCTCACACCAAAGTCAGAACAGCTTCAACCTTGGGGATTCTCCTGAGGCTTTGTTAGCCTTTATCGAAGTTTGGACTCGGGAACCAACAGTAAGCCAGGTGTTCAAGTACCCACAAGGTCGACCCAGTGCCCATGAGGCATCCTCAGGCCGTGGCGATGCAACCTGGTGCCTTTCACACAAATTTAAGATACCCCTATTCTGCTAAGAGCAGTCGTTCTTCCCTTTTCCGGGTTTCCCTTTAACCCACCATACGAATCAGTTGTGACCCAGACCGTCTGAGATTCGGGGTGCAGGATATGTACAAGCTGGATGACGTGAGCATTGGGTCGCTCTCCGGAGCTTTTCCTCTTTCCGCACCTCCAGCCATTCTTCTTGCCGGCACGCTGTTGCCAGCTTTGACTGCGCACCTGGGCTGACTCAGCCGGCGGTTTTGGCTGAGCGTTTCTATGTATGCCAGAGAAAGGGTCCATTGAAATTCATTTAGAACATGAGAAGACATGGGTTTCTTCGTATAAAACCGAACCCCACCCGGCACTCCCCAGAACCCCTTGCGGTTCCCCGCTCAGGCACGGCAAGGCGGCGGCTTTGTTGGTGGCGCAAACCTGCTCCGCCGGGGGCTTCTTCCTGCGGCCCGGCGAACGGGAGATTCCGTCGGAGGGCTTGGCCATGTTCCATGCCTAAAGATCGAGCGACGCCGAACGTCGGGGAACAAAATATGGAAAGACGCCGACAAAAAGTGAAACCAGCCCAAAAGGTCTGGTTCAAGGGCAACTGGAGCCAGCTTAGAGTTTGAAGGTAGTTTCAAAGGTTTCCAACCTACCCTGGACTAAGACCCTGAAACTGAACCCTGAACCCTCCTGCAGATGAGAAATGTCGTGATACATTTGGGGCATTGTCCTATTGTTTGATGGTAGTTTGAGGGTCCAGGTACACTCCGCAGGTTTCTGCTTGGTTTCCGGTGGGGAACGGCGTCTTTCCGGTAGGAAACAATAACGGCATCGAGCAACAGTCGCCTTTAGGCCTGTTAGGCTCGAGAAGAAAGCGACGCCCAGCGGGGCTCGCGCCGTCCAAGAAGACTTGGGTGGGAAGGATGCTATGCCGGGGTGTCGTCTGGGGATCTTGCCATCTTTGCAACCAGCTTTGGGGTGTCGTTTTTGTTGAATGTTACGTTGGCCAAAACCCGCCGGGAACCCAGCTTCTCCGCCAGCAGTTCCCCCAATGGTGCAGAGCGCAGAGCACCACAGAGGATTGGTGGTCCGATATTTTGGTCAAAGCTCTTCTTAGCTCTTTTTGATTTAGAGCTGCTTCTTTCTAGGAAAACACAGAGGTCGTCCTTGCTTTTTTCCAGCCGATGGTGTTTGCTCCCTGTTCTCAAAGGCTCCGGTCCTTTGCTTCAGAACCGAAAAATGTTGGGTGCTTGTCCTTTTAAGGGTGTCCGTCCTCTTTGCTGAACCCCGGACAGTTCTTTTGTGTCCCTCTGAAGGGTTTCAGTCCCTTCCTGTTCCACTATGCTCAATCATTGCTCACAAACAGCAGCCAATTCGGGATAGGCATCAAAAAAACTTATTAGGGATCAACAAAAAAAACTGATTAGGCATCAAAAGCAACTTCTCATTCCTATGGGGAGAAGGAAGGAAAGGGAAGGGAAGGGAAGGGAAGGGAAGGGAAGGGGAGGGGAGGGGAGGGAAGGGAAGGGAAGGGAAGGGAAGGGAAGGGAAGGGAAGAAGGGAGGAAGGAAGGAAGGAAGGAAGGCAGGCAGGCAGGAAGGAAGGAAGGAAGGAAGGAAGGAGGGAGAAAGGATTCAAGCAAGGAAGGAAGCAGGAAGCAAGGAAGGAATTCCAGGAAGAAAAGAAGGAAGGAAAGAAGAAAGGAAGTAAAGGAAGAAGATCTGAAACATTGTGAGAGGTTTTCACCATCGATTTCGTGAATTGGCAGATGCACCCTTTGTTGAATCATCACTTCTTCGAACATCATGAAAGGGGGGGCTGCCGCCCCTCCCCCAACCCCCGCTGGTTTTTAGAATGCTTACAGAGATAAATCACCATTTGTTGAATCATCACTTCTTCGAACATCATAGGGGGGGCTGCAGCCCGCGCTCATTTTTAGAATGTTTACAGAGATTAACGCACCCTTTGCTGAATCATCACTTCTTCGGTCATCATGGGGGAGGCTGCCGCCCCCCCCAACCCCGCGCTGATTTTTTTGATGTTTACAGAGAGAAACGCACCCTTTGCTGAATCATCACTTCTTTGCACATCATGGGGGACTGCCGCCCCCCCCAACCCCCACGCTGGCTTTTAGAAGATTTGCAGAGATTAGCGGGCGCTTTGTTGAATCATCACATCCTCGATGTTTCTCTCTTTCTTTCTTTCTTTCTTTCGTTCTTTCTTTCGTTCTTTCTTTCCTTCCTTCCTTCCTTCCTGCCTTTCCTTCCTTCCTGCTTTCTTTCTTTCGTTCTTTCTTTCTTTATTTATTTTTGTTTGTTCTTTTTCTTTCTTTCTTTCCTTCTTTCTTTCTTTCTTTCTTTCTTTCTTTCTTTCTTTCTTTCTTTCTCTCTCTCTCTCTCTCGCCTTTTTCTCCCTTTTTTCTGCATGTTTATTTCTATGCATTTTTCTCTTCATCGCTTGCGAAAGTGCTGCGACTGCCACAAACTCTGCACCGTACCTTGCAAAAGTGCTGCACCTGCCACGAAATCTGTACCGTACCTTGCGAAAGTGTGGCGCCTGCCGCGAAATCTGTACCGCACCTTGCGAAAGTGCTGCACCTGCCACGAAATCTGCACCTGACCTTGCAAAAGTGCTGCGCTTGCCACGAAATCTGAACCTGACCTTGCGAAGGCTGTACCTGACCTTGTGGAAGTGCTGCGCCTGCCGCAAAATCTGTACCTGACCTTGCAAAAGTGCTGCCCCTGCTGCGAAATATGTACCTGACCTTGCGAAAGTGCTGCGCGTGCCACGAAATTTGTTTGATCCGTGACAAGTTGTTTTTGATCCTCTGAGTTTTCATTTTAGCAGGAAGTCTAAGAGAAGATGTTTTTTGACCCCTATTTTTGATCTTCAGGAATAAGTTTTTTGGATGCCTAAAAAGTTTTTCTGATCCATCACCCAGCCAATTCCCCTGACATCCCCTGTAGTGGGTTTCCGGAAGGATCCCCGCGACCAATGGATAAGTTTCCACACTAGCTGGGATGGTGCCCTAAGGTGGCCCCAAGCTCTAGCTGGGAAGAGCCCTTTAACAATGCTTCGGGGAATATTCAAAAAGGTCGTATTACTCTGGAATTTGCCAATGTATGCATGCTGCATGCTTTGAGAGGCTTTTTATCGTAAGTCTGCAGCCATTGTTTCTCAACAAACGGTAGCCCCCAGCAGCCGCAATGCGAGTCAAGATTTGCTGCGTTCACCGTGAAGTCGGAGACCGACTTCGGGCAGATGACGACTTGATGCAGACGTCGTGCCTTCTGCCAGGATACTGACCTATTTTTGTCACCCACCAGAAGCCAGTCCTACAATTGACAGAAAAAGGGCACGTGCCGTCGGACTCGCTTCTCGAGGAGCTCACCGATACGCAGAAGCAGGAGCAGGAGATCAAGGCCAGGAAACGTGCTTGTGGCTGGCTCCTTCATTCTTGTTTTCCATTGTTTCCATGTTTCCTTAAAGGATCTTCATATGTTTTGTATCTTGGTTTTGTTTGTTCGAGGGGAGGGTTTTGTATCTTGGATGAATCTTGTCGTTGAGTTGGCTTTGTTTGGGCTGAACACGCAGTTCATTTCCGAGCAGAAATGCCTGTTGGGGACACATTTGAACATGGTCATATACTGGATTTTTGTTGTGTGTGTTTGTGTCTATTTGTTTACGGATTTTTGCTCATATTCTTTAGTGGAAACCGCCGGAAAAATCCCAGGCCATCCGCCCCAACCCCCAACCCCACTACCCAAAAGCTCTGCCACAAAAAGGAGGCCTTCGACCGCTTCGTCGACACCCACGGCTCTGGAGAGATTGGCTGCATCAAGGCGTCCATGCGAGCCTTGGGCTTCGAGCCGACGTGCCTTGGCGCGGAGGGGGGGGGGGCTTGAGGAGCTGCTGGCGTTTTCAGCTCGTTTGTGGCTGTAATGGAAACCAAACGTTCCGAAAAGAGGTCCCCTACCTTCTTGAAAAGAGAGCGGGCCGTTATGGGGCCTGTAGTTGCGCAAATTATGAAAACGTGGTGTTTGGTGAGGAAGACACAGTACACAGGTGACATCCAAGGCACAAGTGTACACACTGCACACTGCATGCAAAGAATGAGCCTTGTTTCCCTCTGGCCAGATGCCTTGGTTACTGGTGCTAGTCTATAGCTGAAACACGTCCATATACATGAAATAATTCAGTGTGATATTTCATCTTGTCTCTGAACTTACAGTTCCGCTGATGGTTCTGAACCATAAAGTACATAAAACACTGTAATTTACGCTATTTTTGGGCCACTTGCTTCCAGGAGAGGATAAGGAAAGAGACCTGTCCTGTACCATTTGAATGTGTCTGATTCGTGAGAAGAGGTGTATTGACACAGAGAAGGGCGTGTGTACATAATTTGAATGTGTCTGATTCATGAGAAGAAGGTGTATTGACATTGACACAGAGAAGGGCGTGTGTACATCATGACAACACACATGCTGAGATGCTTTTGCAAAGAAAAGGTTTGATGACAAGGGCTGCCTCGCTGCCTCTTGGGACAAGACACAGTTTTCAGGCTGCTTATGCAGATGGCCCTTCTACACAGAGACAGTGTGCAAGAGAAGGGCCTCTTGTAAAGGAAGAATTTGATGAAATGTAATGCTCCTTTGGTTGTATAAGGAGATAGGGGGGGGGACTAGGTTTACAAGACAGGTACATGTGGTTTGCTTACAGGAAAACTCTTTGAATTGGGCAGAATGTCCACAACCTGAGTCATACATCAGCACAGTAGATAGGAAGGACATGAGAAGAAAAGGCTCATTCAGATGGCCCTTCTACACAGAGACAGTGTGCAAGAGAAGGGGCTCTTGTAAAAGAAGAGTTGATAAAGCATGATGCTCCTTTGATTGTATAGGGGGTAGGGGGGAACTTGCATAAATGCAATAGCGCAACTAGCGCAACACACAACTTCCTAAATTAATCAACCGCGCTGAGTGATAAACACGACAGCAAAGCATGCGCAAAAAGTGACCATAGAGCTCTTTTTGTTTTGTTTTGTTTTGGGGCTGTATCTTCCAGTGCTCCACAACAGAACTTGCAGGGTTACTTGGGTTTCTAGTAATGTGCACAAAACACTGCAATTTACGCTAGTTCTTTTGCCACTTGTCTCCAACAAGGCTAGGAGTGTGGATAGGAGTGTGGAGAAGGGTCTACTTCCATGTGAGATAGGTTGCTTCCAATATGATACAATGATACAAGAGACCAGAAAAAAACGCAAGTCGAGATCAATAAAAAAAACAACAAAACCGAGAAACAGCAATAAAACCAATCCCCCAGACAGCCTATGACAATACAGGATTGGAGCCAAATTGGAGCACATAGACAGGAATGCAAAAACCTCGAGGAAACCCCGAAAAACAAAAACAAAAAAAACAAAAAAAAAAACAATCCCCCAGACAGGGCTTTGTTTTTTG